ATATTTTATTTTAGTTTTTATATATTAAGTGTCAGTTTTCTTTTATGAAGGTTCTTAATATACTTAACGCACATTATGCAATTGATATATTCCATATTTAGGTTTTAATATACTTTTTTTTACAGTGATGGAATTATGACGTCAATATATATAGTCATATATTGTTTCTAAAAATAAAAAAGTGAAGTAGTAATCAAATTAAAGAGCAAAGTAATTATGGATGATCGTCTTGCACCTCTACACTCTATTAGTAAGGTTCGTTATTACACATTTAAATATATAAAATTTTTAAACGTAACGAATAGTAGATGTTACGAAACGTATATGTAAACAAAACTACAAATTTTAAATTTTAAGTTTCTTTTAACAAACTCTAAATAGATATGAAACAAAATATTGAACAAGCTTCAGTGAATCTCAAAAAATGCTTATCATGTTTTTTCTCTTAATGTATGGTTATTTGTTTCCTTAAATATCAAATGAATTTAATTGAATAGTATCTCAAAAGCTAGAGCAGCCTTCACTGTACAAAACTTTACGTATATTTATCAGTTATAATTCATTGATTAAACAGTATATTGTTTCTTAGATTCATAATGACTAGCATTATCATTTGAATTAAATAAACAAAGAAATTCTATTATTTTCTTTCTTTTTAGTATGAAAATTTCACTGATAAAAAACATTAATAGTTATTACTTTACGTATATTTCCAAACTCTTTCCAAAAAAATTCCACTGTCATTAGAAGATTAGAAGCATAGAGATCAAATATTAAAAAGCTAGAAATATATAAGATTACTGCACTTTCATATTTCATTTTCAGTAATTGAAATTTTACACACGTGACTGATCAATCAATACATATAAGAATTGGCATGTTTCCTTTATTTCTCGCGAATGAAATCGAAAACAATATTCAAATAGTTTTCTATTCACAAGCAAGCACAGTAACGTAACAAGTATCAGTGTTGCCACATTTGATGCCCAAAAAGCAGAAAATAAGGTATAAAAAACAGAAAATGACAGAAGTTTTATTGTTAAAAAGCAGAAAAGAAGCAGAAAGCATATTTCTCCTAGAAAACAATCTTGTAAGTTTTGACTTAATGAACTAATCAGAAAATTTCACAATAATCTCCAAAATTTATTGTACAAAATCAAGAAAAAACCAGTTAAATACAAAAATAGATTTATTGGATACAATTTCTTTGGAACATGTGTTTTTCATCTAATTTAATAGCTATCAATTAATCTTGGGTGTGTGAATTTGGGTGATATTAATATCTATCAGAGTTGGGATCGGTGTGTCTTCAGACATTTTCAGTTCTACTCGAAAAAAAGACACCGATCTCATCACCGATATCTATACCAACACCCACACCCACCCTTAAATATCATGGAAAGAAAGATATAGATAACGAAGGGGGCGGGTGTGGGTGCATGATTTCTTTATTGTCATACACATGTACACCCACACTCACACCAACAACCCTACTTGCCGGAGATTTCCTACAAACACAATGCAAAAATACGGCTTCTATTTCTTTTTTCATTGTGTTACTCCGAATGATGCTCGTCACTTTCTGACAACAATCTAAATCGTTAGTTTTCCTTATTTTTTTATTACTTTCCTTATGTTGATAGTTGCCGGAGATTTTGTAGAAGCAACAGAATCAAGAAAAAACTTTCCTTCTCTTTTTTCACTGTGTTATTCCGAGTATTGTTCATCACTTTCTGAGAACAACCTAAATGGTTAATTTTTCTTCTTGTTTTTTTCCTTCCTAATTCCGAGACTTGCCGGAGATTTTATACAAGCAACAGAATGAAAAAAAGGCTTTCTTTTCTTTTGTCATTGTGTGACTCCGAGTGTTGCTCGTCAGCTTCTGCGAAACACCTAAATGGTTAGTTTCCCTTATTTTTTTTCTTTCATTGTTCCGATAGTTGCCGGACATTTTACAGAAACAACAGAATGAAAAAATTCTTCCTTCTCTTTTTTTCATTCTGTGACTCCAAGTATTGCTCATCCCTTTCTGAAAACAACCCATTGCTCGTCACTTTCTGAGAAAAATCTAAATTGTTAGTTTTCCTTACTATTTTTTTACTCTCGTTATTCCGATATTGGCTCGAGATTTGATAGAAGCAACAGAATGAAAGAAAGCCTTCCTTCTCTTTTTTTCATTGTGTTATTCCGAGTGTTGCTCATCACTTTGTGAGAACAACTTAAATGGTTAGTTTTCCTTATTTTTTTTTTACTTTCATAATTCCGATAGTCGCTGGAGACTTTATAGAAACAACAGAATGAAAAAGAAGCCTTCCCTTTCTTTTTTCATTGTGTGACTCCAAGTATTCCTCATCACTTTCTGAGAACAACCTAAATGGTTAGTTTCCCTTATCTTTTTTTACTTTGCTTATTCTGATAGTTCTCGTAGATTTTATAAAAACAACCAAATGAAAACAAGCCTTCCTTTTCTTTTTTCGGTGTTTTGTTCGGAGTATTGCTCGTCACTTTCTCAGGAAAATCTAAATCGTTAGTTTTCCTTATTTTTTTACTTTCCTTATTCCGATAGTTATCGGAGATTTCATAGAAACAACAGAATGAAAAAAAAGTCTTCCTTTACTTTTTTTCTATTGTGCTACTCCGAGTGTTGCTCGTTAGTTTCTGCGAAAAAACTAAATGGTTGGCTTTCCTTATTTTTTTTCATTTTCTTTATTGCGATAGTTGCCGGAGATTTTATAGAAAGAACAGAATGAGAAAAAAGCCTTCGTGTTCTTTTTTTTCATTGTATTACTCCAATTGTTACTCGGGACTTTCTGAGAAAAACGTAAATCGTTAGTTTTTCTTATTTTTTTTTGTCTTTTATCGTACAGTTATGCTGAGAGTGACCATGCATTGAGTAAGTAAAAATCAAATACCTTAGTCTCGTGTCCTTTTCATGTAATAAGTATGTTGGTATTTATCCTTTTGGTCTGAGAGAAGCGGATTGGAGAAATTTGTTATCGTCGTCTCTATTAAATTTTGCTAAAAACTCTTGTGCATTTTTTAATGTAAATTTAATTAGAAAACTGACCTTACATTTTTTGCTTCATTTAGTTATTCTGTTACTTCTGTCGTCTTTTGTGATGAGGTTTGAATAAGAAAACTAATTTTAATCTTCATTTCGTCATTTAATTATTCCGATAGTTGTCGAGTATCATATGGGAATGAATCAAAGAAGTTGATTCTGTTTTGTTCTTATAATTTCAAGAATAATTTTCCTAGGCCTTAGGATAGAAATAGAATAAATTAGTTTGCTTTAGTTTGTTTTTCTCCATTTAAATCGAGCTGGCATTTGATGAGCATTTCATCCGAAGAATGACATTAAATTAATACCCATTTCAAAAAAGAAAAAGATTGGATATTTTTTGAATAACTTTCGATAGAAAGCTGCAGTTTTCACCATTCGAAAGAGGGTTGAGTCACTGCATAGTTCCATATAATACTCAACAATATTGGTTCATAATCCGATGTTCAGTCAGTGATTTTCGGAAAAACAGTGGAAGTTCTATAATGATTACATCGAGTTTTAATTATAACAAGTGTGATAGATGCGCTAGCTAACGCTTTACACATCTACGCAAGTTCGACAATCTATGTTGTTTCCTTCAAAAGTTATGCGCGTTCTATTAATTGTAATAATAGCTTCATATCAGCCATTTCGATTATTTTTCGCATTTTCAAAAAGCTCGTGATTTAATCGTCAAGTATATTTTCGATCATTCTCAATCGAACCGAACTATTT